AGACTCGCTTGAGCCCAGGAGTTGGAGGCTGCTGTGAGCTGTAATGCCACGGCACTCTGCCCAGGGGGACAGCTTGAGGCTCTGTCTCAAAAAAAAAGAACGCCAGACACGCCACACGCTCGTCCCAGACTCACTCCCCGCCACCCAGCACGTCTCCCCTCGGCCGCCACCCCTCGCCCTTCTTGGGGTTGGGGCTGCGCACCCGCCCAGGCCCAGGAAGCGCCACCTGCGACGGCCCTCGCTGACCGAGCAGCACACAGGGACAGGAAACCAGCCTGCGGACAGTACCCCGAGACGCTGGCGCGGGCAACGCGCGCAAACAGCACCAGCCGCCGCCTGGCCCCTAACCACAAGCCCTCGCTCCCTCTGCCCCCCACCGACGAGAAGTGGACCGAGCGAGACGCAGGGGCCCGCTCTCTGCGGTAACGCGGGAAATGACACCACTCCCGCCCCATAGAGTACCTTGGCACAGCTGCTGCGGGACATCTCCCATCACCACCCCTCAGCACCCTCAGGGAGCACCGCCCCCTCACGCTCGCACCGCCCCTCAGCACGCACCGCCCCCTCACGCTCGCACCGCTCCTCAGCACGTACCGCCCCCTCACGCTCGCACCGCCCCTCAGCACGCACTGCCCCCTCACGCTCGCCTCCGTCCACCCTTGGCGCACCCCACCGCGCGCTGTGATTGGCTGGCGCGGGCCGGGGCTTTCCGGGCACTAGGGGGCGGCCTGCGGCCCGCTGGCAGCCGATAATGGGTGTGGTGCCGTGTCGCGTACTGCCGTATGCGGTCTGGGACCCGAGCGCGCCTTGGTGCTGGAGGGGGTCCCTCCGCCGCGGACTTCCTGGGTTCAGGTGCGAGAAAGCGGCTGGCGTGGTGGCCAGTCCTCTAGTGTTGTCTTTTGAATCAAGTCATATGTTATCTGTGTTGTCAGGTAACAACTGACGTTAAAATAAAATGAAAACCAGAACTAGGCTACAAATTTTAAAAAGTACTTAAGGAGTGAGCCTGGCGCGGTGGCCCACTCGATCCACAGGCCGAGGCGAGTGGATCGCCCTGAGGTCATGGGTTCAAGACTGGCCTGAGCCAGAGCAAGACTTCACCTCTAAAAATACCCGGGCGTTGTGGCGGGCGCCTGTAGTCCCAGCTACTTAGAGACTGAGGCAAGAGAATCGCTTGAGCCCAAGAGTTTGAGGTTGCTAAGAACTGTGACGCCACGGCATTCTACGGAAGGCAACAAAGTGAGACTCTGTCCCACAAAAAAAAAATACTTAAGGAGTTGTAGTTGTTGATAACCTGGAGAAAAGAGTGTTATTTCCCCCTCTTGGGGGTGGAGAAAGGGTTACGTTTAAGTATTGATAGAGCAAGATTTTCAAATGTAAAAGACATCAAAACCGTGGCTTGTTAACCATCACTGAGGAGAGGATTTCAGATTCTGCAGGTCAGAGGTGGGAACTTGAGAGGCGGCGCCGGTCAGGGTCACGGCTCCTGAGAGGTCGACCTGAGACCAGACCGTGGGGAGCGGGGCCTGGACTGAGCAAAAACTGGACAAGTCATAAGGTCTGAATGGATAGGCAAGTAGCAAGTCAGGAAGAGTGTTAGCCTGAGAAGGAGGAGAGTATTCTAACAAATACGCACAGAGGCTAGTCTTATGCTTCAGAAACGGGTTTTTTGTCCCGCTGCAACAATACAATATTTTTCAGCTTATCCATTTTCAGTTTTTCTTTCCTCCCTAGTGCCTATTCTGCCAGGTTGTTTTGAGTTCCAGGGCCTAAAGCAACAAATGATTAGCAAACAGTAGGTGTCCATTCTGCATTAGTTGAAAAAATGAAAAGCAAATCTTGGCTTAGAAGAGACTTTACTGTTAATACTACTGCTGTCAACACTTGGATCAAGATAACCTAGATGCTAAATCTAGTTTAGGATTTAGAATATCAGGCCTCTGGGACTCCACAAGAAGAGACTGACCACTACTGCCTCAGCATCTTCCGGACCATCTATCTGTTGGACCTGGGCTTTGGATTCTTGTCCCTGCAGACCTCTCTGTGGCACTCCTGCTGCAGCCCCAGTATGCTGCCTGCTTGTCATCTACACTTGGAGAGGCACATCCATTTAAATGTTTCTCTTGCCCAACTTGTTGCTATTCAGAATTCTCCATCTCAGCAGTGGCACTCACATCCACCTGATGGTAGCTCATGCAGAAACCTGAGGATTTTCTTGAACACTTTTGTGTCTCTTACCAACCTCACAATCTCTCTCCGCTGCCACCATTGTTTTCTAGACCACTAATGTCTTTTGCCCAGATTACTAGGAACCTCCTATTCTCTGTTGTTTCATCCACTCTTGTCTGTCACCCACCACACACATACGATCCAGTCTCCTCACAGACGTGCCAGTGATGTTTATGCTCACAGTGTTGGCCCTACTTTTGGTGGTCAAATGTGCCAGCACTTCATTTGCTCTTCTTTTTGCTTCAAAGCCTCTGGCCTCTCTCTACCATGCCAATTCCCATGCACCTGTCACAGGACTGCCTTAGTTTCCCTAAACTACCAAGCTTGACTCTCCTTGTTCTTCACTTTCATAGCAACCTATGCTCCTTCAAATATGTTATAACAATCATAATCTAAATAAATGTTTACCATATGGTTCCACCACTGTACTGTAAGATAATACCATTTCTATCTTCTTCACTTCTATATCCCAAGCACTTAGAACAGTGTCTTTCGCATACAAAGTACCCAAATAAAACTGGCTGTGAATGAGTTTATGATTCTTAAACAAAAATGACTTTCCTAAGTTTGCACAGCTAGAGCCCTTGTGTGATATCAAGGCCCATACTTTCTCCACTGTACCAATCAGAACACAGTATAATTATGAGAAATTTTCAACTGAACACATAAACTCATCAAAAGGGAACTGCCAATAAGAAAGGTGAGCCCAAACTAAAACATGCAGTAAGTGGAATCTGGTTTCTTGTACCCTCAATGAATCCCCAACAATAAAAAAAAGCTTTTTATAAAGGTGAGCCCATACTGGAATGGACCTATGAACCCTTTCCAGTCTTGTCTTACGTCCTCCTCAGCAAACACTTGGTAAACACCAAGACAAACAGGAATATTCTTTTAATTTTTTCACCTCCAACTTTTTGGCCTAGTGTTGTTCTGCAAATATCGGTAGTCTTCATTCTGCCTACAACAAGCCTAAGGATTCCATTGGAGCTGTGAAGGCTGTGGGTGAGGAAGAGTCACAAGGGGATTTCTGAAGCACCTTTGGGGAAGCTCTCCCTCCATCTATCTAATATATGGACTAAGATTGTATTTTTAAAATTTTCTAATTTGGGGGGAAATGTTTGAAATCTATGATCCATTTTCCTTTTTAGTCTAGTAGTCAAGGTATTGGAATAAAACGTAAGCAGATTCATTTATAATCCTAAAGAGGAGGGAAGAGAGAAGTTCTTTCCAGCTATGACTCAAAATTCACTGATCATAATGCAAAAAATTGGTAAATTCTGTGATGAGGAAGGAGCTCTCATGGCCTAATCACTTCTTAAAGTCCTACATCTTTATACTGGCACATTGGCACCACTTGAATTTTGGAAGGGACACCTTGAAATGATAGCGAATGTGAAATAATGTATATATAGGAATTTTTATTGCAAACAGTTTGCAACAGCAAAGGACTAAAAGCGAATGAGATATTCATTTGCATGAAAGATTAGATAACCCACATGCCTTCATCTCCAGGGTACACTCCAGGGTACACTAAATGAAAAAAGCCAATAGGCAGAGTAGGCCTCATAGTGTGCTGCCTTTCCAGTGTAATAAAACAGGAAAACTTGTATCTTCATCACTTGCTTGTCACTGTGTGAAGAAATACTATATGTATAGAAAAATAAATAAAAGTGTTTCCTAGTGGAAGGGAGGAACCAAGTGACAGGGATGAGGGGAGCAAGTCTTCTCCATCTCTAATTTTTTATATGGTTTTGACTTTTGAACTGTGTGTACCTCTATTTTAAAAACAAATTGATGGCTCGGTGCCTATAGCTCAACCGGCTAAGGCGCCAGCCACGTACACCTAAGGTGGCGGGTTTGAATCCCCAGCCCGGACCCGCCAAACAACAATGACGGCTGCAACCAAAAAAAAAAAAAAAAAAAAAATGGCCGGGCGTTGTGGCGGGCGCCTGTGGTCCCAGCTACTTGGGAGGCGGAGGCAGGAGACTCGCTTGAGCCCAGGAGTTGGAGGTTGCTGTGAGCTGTAATGCCACGGCACTCTGCCCAGGGGGACAGCTTGAGGCTCTGTCTCAAAAAAAAAAAAATAAATAAAATAAATAAAAAAAATAAAAACAAATTGATGGGGCCAGACTCTGTGGCTCATGCCTGTAATATCAGCACTCTGGGAGGTCAAGGCAGATGGACTGCCTGAGATCATGAGTTCAAGACCACCTAAGTCAGAGTAAGACCTCCATCTCTAAAAATAGTCACATGTTGTGACATGTGCCTGTGGTCCCAGCTATTTGGGAGACTAAGATAAGAGAATCACTTAAATCCAAGAGTTTGAGGTTGCTGTGAGCTAAGATGTCATGATACTCTACTGAGGGTGACAAAGAGAGACTCTGTCTCAAAAACAAAAACAAAACAGATTGAGGCCCAGTGTGATGGCTCATAGAGCTCCAGCACTTTGGTAGGATCATGGCAGAAGGATCACCTGAAAACAAGAGTTTAAAGTTGCAGTGAGCATAGTGCCACTGCACTCCAGCTTGGAAACCCTCTCTCTGAGGAAGAAAAGAAAGGAGGGGAGGGAGAGCATGGCCAGATATGTAGTAAGTGCTCAAAAGTGTTAGTAGTTATAATCATCTGTCTTGGATATCTTTGTACCCGGTCTGTAAAGTACTGTCATTACATGTGAGATAATTGCATCCCAGTCAGGCTATATAACACCAAAAGCCACAAACCCAATAAATGGCAAAGCCAAAGGCACATAAGTTTTCAACTTTGGTGAATCTCAGGAGTTTGGAAGAAGTTGATTCCACCCCTTCATGGAGACTTTGAGAAGGTAAAGATGTCAGTAGAGGAAGTTACTACAAGTGTGGTGTAAGTAGCAAGAAAACAAAAATTAGAAGTGGAGCCAGAAGATATGACTAAGTTGCTGCAATCTCATGATCAAACTTAAACAGATGCAGAGTTGTTCCTGCCTTCCTTCCCTCCCTTCCCTCCCTCCTTTCCTCCTTTCTTTCTTCTTTCTTTCTTTCTTTCCTTCCTTCCTTCCTTCCTTCCTTCCTTCTTTCTTTTTTTCTTTCTTTTTCTTCCTTTATTCCTTTCTGTCATAGATAGTAACTTGTAGCCTTCAGAAATCCTCTTTCCTCAGCCTCCAAGAAACTGAGACTACCACCTTGCCTACCACCATGCCTGGCTAGTTTGACTATGTTTAGTAGAGATGGGGTCTCTTGCTCAGGCTGGTCTCCAACTACTGAACTCAAGCAATCCACCCACCTCAGCCTCCCAGGTTGCT